GCGATATACCGGGCACAATTCCAGACTCTGTGCTACTACTGAGATTTTTTGGACAAGAGATACAATTACAAGTGAAAGAAAGAAAAGAAAGTAAGAAAAACCATTCATTTTGCTACAACACACAACAAGAATTTAGAGACACAAAAAAAGCCTATGGTGCTTCGCAGCGCAAAAGTGCGTTACCGGCCTTTAAAAGAAGTACTAAAGGTAGTCCTAAAGCTACTTTTATATTAAAGCTTAGCTTGCCGTACACCACAGTTAGTTGCCGTGTCAGAAGCGAATATTTGTGCACCAATAAACACGCAAAATAGCGTGGTAATGTCGAATTCTAGTGGTTTCCATTTTATTGGCTTGTTCACTAGGCTTTGGCCCTGACTTCGGCTGCATAAGAAGCTTATTACGAAGGTCCTACTTACTTGATAATTTATTTATTTGTACTTAATAATAATTTACATTTACTTCACACAATATATCAAGAATAATTGTGGCTTCAATTATTTTCAAGGGTGTATGATTTTAGCTTCTGTAGTCGAAGGCATTGCCTGTATGTCGTCGTATTTGTCACCACCGCTACTCTTCCCGCGGGTGTGGTATACCCGACTAAGGGACTACACATTAGACAGAGACTGTGCAGCAGCGTTCTCGGATAAACCTCCTTTTAAGGCCGTGATGTCTAACCGGTCTGTTAAGAGTGGAAACTGTAACCTCTTACATGGAGGAAGCCCAAATTAATCCCGGTGACCAGATCTATTATAGAGGATTCGGTGCCACCCATTTTTGTTTTTAAACTGTCAAACACCAAGCGGTCACCGGTGACCGCAACCTATTGTTCTATAATTGTGTCTATAATGACGGTACTCAATGAGTTAAGGGGCGAAAATCATCGAATAACTTCTCCCGCCTGGGTGAGGCGGGAGGGTCAGACTCCTACTGATTAAAAACCATCCCGTTCCTACTCCTACACTTCGAGCCGGGGCCCCGGCAACCCGTTAAGTCCTCCGCGGCTCCGTGTCGACATCAGCCGTATTGGGCCCCTTCCGTGGTGGTCTGATGGCTCTTTGAGGCGTGTGCCGTACGTTTGGGCAGGCGGCGAGCTACCCATGCTCACCGTCCGCAGGCCCGTGCTTACGGTGGCCGGAGATCGTAGGTGATGATGATGGCCACCGATATGGTTTCAGTGGTGTAGTTGCCACACTCCCTAGTATCTTCTCCTCGTAGATTTCCCCCCAGTTATCCAAGAAAAGGTAACTATCGTGTCAACCTAAAATAATTATGAAATTTCAACATTACTAACATATTTTATGGTCTTTAAAGTAATCGTTTGATCGTAAAATGTTATGGTTAAAACCATATTTAACTGCCTAAGATTATGTTAAGTTGGAAACCATTGTTTTAAAACCAAAGAGGTCATATTTTAAAAATCTTTAACCTTTTCCTAAGTAGGTTAGGGTCGGTCAAATATTTTTATGTAATCAGAAATAGTAAGAGCATTTAATGCTTCGTTGGCCGAGTGCTCGCAACTGCGACTACCAGGCATAGGGTCTCGGGTTCGCTTACCGAGTCGGGCTTTTTTTTCAAGGGGGGAAAATCATCGAATGACTTCTCCCGCCTGGGTGAGGCGAGGGAGTGTCAGACTCTTACTGAGTAAAAACCACCCCGTTCCTTCTCCTGCACGTGGAGCCGGAGCCCCGGTTACCCGTTAGGTTCTGCGCGACAAAATAATAATCTAATAAAAATATAAATAATCGGGCGGGAATAATAATAATCTAATGATAATAACATTTATATTAAAGTTGTCTAAAGGGCCTCTGCGCAGTTGGCTTCGGCCCCTTGTACGCCTCCCAAATGACCGGGACCCTGTGGTCCCGTGAATAGTAAAGACATACAATAATAATAATAATCCAGGCTCACCCCCTATTACATGGGACTCGTAACACAAATAGTGAAAAGTGGGTGTTACATTGTACAGTGGCATTAAGTGCCGTAATGTGCACCTCTGCCTACCACTTCGGAGATAAAAGGCGTGATGTTATATCTATTCTGTCTACAATTCAAGTTGTTAACAACATTCTTATAGTTGGTTTTGGTTGTCATACAAAAACATAACATGTTATATTTTACTAGCTTTTACCCGCGGCTTCGCTCGCGTCACAAAAGGATAAAAGTAGCCTATGTGACATATACCAATACACACAGCGCCATCTATACCAATACTTTTGTTTTCCCTCGAGAATATCAATTTTTTCCGGGATAAAAAGTACCCTATTATTTAATCTGGACTTCTAACTTTACGTCTGCAAAAAATCAAAGCAATCGGTTTAGTAGCTACGGCGTGAAAGCAGAACAAACAAACTAACAAAAACTCACTTTCCGATTTATAATATTAGTAAGGATAAGGATGTCTGTCTGTCACTTAAATCCACGTTTCCTGGTTCCATAACATTTGTCATAGAATTCATAAGTAAATAATAATTAATCTTGTAGAAAACATGTGCTGTTGATGACAGGTGAAGTATGATAATCATGACGCCAAGATTCAGAATAGAAGACAGAAATTCTGTTCGTGAATTTACCATTTAAATTTTATGTGTGGGAGAGCCATGCTTCGCCACGAATGGACCGGCTCGACTGGAGTGATACCACGGCCGAGCAGAAAACCGACGTGAAGCAACGCTTGCGTTGTGTTTCGTCGTGTGAGTGAGGTTACAGGAGGCCCAATTACCCTCCCCTTCCTCAATCTCCCCAATTCCTGAATCCCTAACGATCCTCAAACTCATAACATAACATAATATCACGCCTTTTAGTCCCGAAGGGGTAGGCAGAAGTGCACATTACGGCACATAATGCCACTGTAGAATGTAACACCCACTTCTCACTATTTATGTTATGAGTCCCATGTAATAGGGGGTGAGCCTATTGCCATATACCGGGCACAATTCCAGACTTCGTACTACTACTGAGATTTTTTTAGAAATCCAGTAGTACTTTGCCCGACTCGGGAATCGAACCCGAGACCCCTTGCCCGGCAGTCGCACTTGCGACCACTCGGCCAACGAGGCAGTCCTCCAACTCCTAATCCCCAAAAGGCCGGTAACGTACTTGTAACGCCTCTGGTGTTCCAAGTGTCCATGGGCGACGCCGATTGCTTACCATCAGGTAATCCGTCTGCTCGTTTACCGGTTTATGCCATAAAAAAAAATTAACAGTCATGTGATGACGGCGGAGTGGTATATTGGTCACCACCGCTACTCTTCCCGCGGGTGTCATATACCCGACTAAGGGAGGATATATTAGACAGAGACCTGGCAGCAGCGCTCTCTGATACACCTCCTTTCAAATCGTGGTGTCTAACCGGTCTGTTAAGGGTGGAAACTGTAGTACCTCTTACATAGAGGAAACTCAAATTTAAATAAAAAAGCGACTTTTTTTATACTATGTAGTGATGGGTCGACGTTTGACCTCTATCTTGCATGGTGGTAAACCATGATGCGGTCTACGATGGAGCACGTCGTCTTGAAGACACCCAGGCTAAGAATATACCCTTCAGGAAATACAGACTCGGCAAATAATTCCACTCCTTAGCAGTACGCTCAAGGAAGCTCGATGCAAAGTGCTTCGTGCGTGTGGGTGGGACATCTACCATCTAACTTGACTAATTTCAAGGCATTCCAAAGGCTCTTAACCGCTGGAATGCACCGATATGAGACACAATAGAAAATACGTTGTATCTCCCATGGATCCACGTGTAGACACACGATGGGTGAATCATGAGCATTTCGTGCAGCCGAGCAGTCATCGCATTGTGTCGCGGAATGCTGATGAATATGAGCCTCTAGCACGGCTTGAAACTACAGTTGCCTCCCTCGAATATAAAATGATGAATAATGCTGAATGCAGTATCTAGCTAATTGGGCATGGGAATGTACATACACTTTGAAACGAATAGGTAAAAACAATGCCCAAAATGGCCCTGTGCAATGAAGAGTATCAGAATATACGATAATTAATCCCCTATTTTATAATATAAGTTGCAAATACTTCGGTATCACGGACTAGCTGTATTTCAAAATGTACTTTTGGTAATTTAACGCGATTAATAACATTAGATCGCTATCTTCGTCTAATGTAAAATGCCTTCGTCTAATGTAATAAATAAATAAATCAGCAAGTCCAATGTCATGTCGTGACGAAAGTGAAACAGGGATGTCCAATCAATTACCTAGAATCGCCCGTTTACCTACGTTCTTTTTCTTTATGAATGCAGTCATACTCTAATTGAATAAGTAGTAACAACGATAAATATTATACAATAATCAAAACTTCATTACTTCTATACAATCATTCAAACATTCAACATTCGTTCAAATATTCGTTGTTATGGTTAGATTATAACCTCAAAATCTGTTTTTTTTTTAAATAGATCTTTTCTGCAGCTAGTCCGCTATAAAAACAAGATATTCTAGGAGTCTACAAATGATAGAGAATACAAGATATATTTATCCGATACTGTTGGATAAGAGAAATTACCTTTAATAAAGAACACAATAATTTAACTTCTATAATAATTATTACATTCAAGAATGCCTTTGTCTTCATCTTATTTAAATTAAAAAAGTAATAGTTCGGTCCAGTTCCGTCTGGGTACTGTTTCCTATTCTTGTTTCATGCAAGCCTTGTCAAACACTACAAAAAGAATTATGCATTTTGGTCAAGCACTTTGGAAATTATGCCCTTACACAATTATGCATATTTCAGTGATTCATATTTACTTATTTTTTTTTAAACATTGCCCCACTCTAGGATTGTCTCCTGTATCGTGGGTGCGTTTACAAACATACAAGTTCACATTCACATCACAACTAGACCCGGAAATAACAATCTTTGGATCACACAAAGATTTGTTTCGTGCGGGAATCGAGCCCGCGACGTTGTGCGGCAGCCAGTTGTCAGCCACCGCAACAAGCGTACAGTTCAAGTCCAAGTATGGATAACGTACTCACCGTTTTAAACCCTCTGTACATGACACGGATCTCCTGTTTAGAAAACTTGGTCTGCCGGCATAACTCCTCCAAGGCGACAGGAATTGGCTTCGGAGTCCTACTGGGCTCCAATTCATAAGCATGCTCCTCCACAGGAGACTCAGGTGGAGTCGCCATCTTGCTAATTCAATACTTCTTCAATATCTTCCAAAGTTATTCTAATTTTCTCGAAATCATTGTTTTAAATTTTCTACGAGACGAACTCTTTGGCTGAATATTTTGTGTAATCGATCACTCGATTGGTTTTATTAGCTGTGGTGCGTTTGACAGTTCATTTTGGCGGGAGTTTTGACAGGTGGGTTTTTTTCAAGGCTGGTGAGATGGTTTCTTGTGCTGTAACAAAAGAAAAGTCAATGTTAGCTGGTTTAGAATTAGAACATAATTTAGATATTTAGGACGGAATTCACGGCACATCTGTTATTACAGCTGTACCGTCAGTCAAGTTATTTTGGTATGAAAATAAGAAAATAAAGATGAACAGAGACAGTAGCTATTCTTTGTTTTTAACGCAGTATGCCATATCTTTTCTAGCTATTGGCCGGCTCAGTAGTTAACCAATAATTACCATATCAATACTGAATCGTTTTTTATTTTCTAAAATAACAATAGCTATGGTAATTACTTTTCGTCAGGCGGACTATAAGTTTGTATGTCATCTCAGTAGCGTTTTTTTAAGGTGGGAATATCATCGAATGTCTGCTCCCGCCTGGGTGAGGTGGGAGAGAGTGTCAGACTCTTACTAAAAACCACCCCGTTCCTTCTCCTGCACGTCGAGCCGGAGCCCCGGTAACCCATTAGGTTCTCCGCGACATCTCAGTAGTGTTAGATGACTAAAACTAATTAGTTTAATCTATGTTGTCAAATCTAACAGGTTAGAAAAAAAATCCGCGCAAAGAGTTGTAACGTTCTGTTGTGTGCCTTTAGCCAAAAACCACTTTAGCGCTTGTCTACAGAGAGAGTAGAAAACTAAATGTATGGGGATGACACTGACAAGTGTCAAAATTTATGTCAAGTCCATATAATTTGGTTTTCCATTAATTTTTTTTATTTTTTTGTTAAAAAAACGTTGCCCCACACTACGATTTTTTCCTGTGTCGTGGGTGCGTTTAAAAACATACAATATCATATACACATGACACCCAGACCCGGAACAACAATCTGTGGATCACACAAAGAGTTGTTAAGTGTGGGAATCGAACCCGCGACACGTTGCGCGGCAGCCACTTGCCCAGCCACTGCGCCAACAGTGCAGTCAATTCTACATGTAGACAAGCGTTAAATGGCATTTGGCTACAGCTGCTGGCGGGAATTTTGACGACCATCACGCTATTTCCTTATAAGAATCCGTTTAGAAGTAGTAAAACAAATTATTATCTGTACTAAATAAATATACAGTGCTAAAGACATATGAGTGGTTTTGATCTAGGTGCCTCTAATTAATACTTGGCAGTTGATTTCACTGTATCGCTTGCAAGCCAAAATGTACATTAGACATATAATTTGTCAATATGACATCTGTTACTCGAGTCACAAACGCAACGAGAAAAGCTCGGTAGTAGCTTAAATCTGTCAATTTATTTCATTGCATTGTCTCATCATCAACAGCCTATAAATGCCCAATGCTGAGCAAAGCCTCTTCTCACACGGAGAAGGTTAGAGCGTTAATCACCACGCTTGCTCAATGCGGGTTGGCGATTTCAAACTTATAATTAGAAATAATAAGTCCAGGTTTCCTCACGATGTTTATTTAAGTGTGGGAGAGCCATGCTTCGGCACGAATGGGCCGGCTCGACCGGAGTGATACCACGGCCTCACAGAAAACCGACGTGAAGCAACGCTTGCGTTGTGTTTCGTCATGTGAGTGAGGTTACCGGAGGCCCAATTACCTTCCCATTCCGCAATCTCCGCAATCCCTGAATCCCCAACATTCCTCAAACTCTTAATCCCCAAAAAGCCGGTGACGCACTTATAACGCCTTGTTGTTCCAAATGTCCATGGGTGACGCCGATGGCTTACCATCAGGTGATCCGTCTGCTCGTTAACCGACTTATCCATAAAAAAGGTAAATATCTGTCTAAATAAAAATCTAGGTTAACTAGAAAAATCTAAGAAGTTCGAAGACGAATTGATACCATAAATAAACGTTACCTACTACATTACGAATGACTAGGGTTGTTCTGATATTCTGAAATGCTGATCGGCAGCCCATCTGAATCGAGCAAGCGTGTTGACTAATGCTCAAACCTTTGTATGAGACCTTTGGTTTTGGTGGTAAGCGATGATGCGGTCTACGATTGAGCACGTTGTCCCATAAGCAACCTACTGAAGACCCCTTGAAAACACCAAGATTATACCCTTCAGATATTAATATTAACGCTTTTGTTGAGGGGTGAAAAAATCATCGAATGACTTGTCTCGCCTGGGTGAGACGGGAGGGAGTGTCTCTTATTGACTAAACATCACCTCGTTCCTACTCCTGCTTTGCGCTTCGGCTTTATATACAGGCAACATTGTTTTGTAATGTTTTTTTTAAACACAATTTTTATCATTGGCAACCCTGACGGTGGCCACTCTATAACTGTTCCATAGCGTACATTAAATAAATAACTTCGTAGTCTATATTTATTCTAAGAGTTATCCGTGTTTTTATATCTCATGCTCCAAGGTCGAGGTTTGATTCCCGTTGATACAAACAACTTTTAGATGTGTTACGAGAATTTCTTTTTGTTGAGGTTCATTGGTCTGTAGCGTGGTGTTTTAGGTTTGATTTCTGTGTTAGTTAATCGATTTTAGATTTATATACGGTGGTCTAGGTAGTAAAGTGGTTTAAATGAACGAGCGCATAATATCACACCTTCAGGATAGGCAGAGGTGCACATTACTGCACTTGCTATCACTGTACCATGTAACACCCACTTTTCACTATTTATGATATGAGTCCCATGTAATAGGGGGTGAACCTATTGCCATATACCGGGCACAATTCCAGACTCCGTGCTACTACTGAGAGTTTAAAAAACACCAGTAATACTTTGCTCGACCCAGAAATCGCACTTGCGACCACTCGGCCAACGAGGCACTAAATTGTTTTAAATATTTTTAAATTATTAATACACCGCTCTTTTTTTTCTTTTTTTTAATGGTCCCAGGACACTAGGATTTTCTCATGTATCGTGGCTGTCGTGGGTGCATTTTTACAAACGTACAATAGGGTAGATGCCTAATTTTAATTTTAATGTCCGTCTGATAGATTATTTTAAATCATTAGACACGTATTTTTATTTTCTTGCAGAAACGAATACTTTCGACGATATATTGATTTGAAATGTCGCGTGACGTCACTTCTATGTACATTTTATACGTAGAAATGACGTTTTAGCCCCCACTCCAAAAATTTGATTCGTTTTATCTAAGTATTGTTGTCTTATATGACAAAATAAAAAAAGACGTGTCTAATGTTTTTTCATTACCTAACTTACGGACTAATTAGATTTTTAAATTTCATATACTGTCATCATCCCAATTTGACCGAATCCCCTAGGGGGTTTGAGCCTATTGCCATATACCGGGCACAATTCCAGACTCCGTGCTACCACTGAGATTTTTCTTTAAAACCCAGTTATACTTTGCTTTACCCAGTAATCGAACCCGAGACCCCTTGCTCGGCAGTCGCACTTGCGACCACTCGGCCAACGAGGCAGTCAGTTTCATAAACATCATTTATGATTGTCATCAAGGGCTGAGTTCTACTGACCCCTTAACGTAGCGACCGTGATTATAATCCGAACTGACATGACAAGAGTCCATTAAAGTGATACTATTTAATTTAATAATAATTTCCCGCTAACTGGCGGGGTGCCAAGCAGGAAAAAGTTTTATGATTTTTTTTAAATAGCAACTTTTTATTGACATTGAAAGCCGTAGTTTGGCGGTCAGCTGATTGTGGTTGCTAGAGGTCGCTGCCCGAGTTGGACAGAGTATTTAAAATATCATAGGTAAAAATAGAAAAGATTACCACGTTGGCCGAGTGGTCACAAGTGCGACTGTCGGGCTGTCTCGGGTTCGATTCCCGGAAAGGGCAAAGCTTTACGGGGTTTTTAAAAATTCTCAGTAGTAGCACGGAGTCTGAAATTTTGGTATATGGCAATAGGGTATATCACCCCTATTACATGGGACTCTTAACATAAATAGTGAAAATTATGTGTTAAATTGTACAGTGGCATTAAGTGCCGTAATGTGCACCTCTGCCTACCTCTTCGAGGATAATGAATGTTATGGTATGTAGATAAAAATACACGTGTGATTTTACGATTTAAATGACGGCCTAACTTCATGTGGTTCACAAATAATCACGATTCATTTTCATTTTACTATCAAAATGACAGTCACTGACACTGACTGACCACCCCTATGAGAAGGGTTCACTCCACATTCACCCCCTTAGACCCCTTGCCCGGCAGTCGCACTTGCGACCACTCGGCCAACGAGGCAGTCGAGGTGAAATGAAAAATCTCAGTAGTTAATTATTTAATGTCAAAACTATACAATCCCCATCGTAGCTGTCAAAATAGCATTTAGAGTACGGAATTTATAGCCAAACTCAAAATACAGTGTAGTTCATTCAATGTCCACGCAATACGGAAGCAATGGGCGCTAGTGTTGCAACTCAAGAGTAAGAAATTTCACAATATCAATGTCGATCGATCGGAATTGGATTCAAGAGTAACCCCCCGGGGCTTCAAGTCATTGTCGATCTGTTTACTACCTCTTCGAAGAACAATATGATTAACAAAATAACCAGTCAATCTGACGTCAATTTTAGATCTTCTGTTTTATAGAAGAAAGTCGATGTATGCAGCTATGATGACAAACATAACATAACATCACGCCTTTTATCCCCGAAGGGGTAGGCAGATGTGCACACAGAAGTAACACCTGCTTTTCATTATTTATGTTATGAGTCCCATGTAATAGGGGGTGAGCCTATTGCCATATACCGGGCACAATTCCAGACTTCGTGCTACTACTGAGAAAGTTTCAAAAACTCAGTAATATTTTGCCCGACCGGCGAATCAAACCCGAGACCCCTTGCCCGGCAGTCACACTTGCGACCACTCGGCCAACGAGGCAGTCATACAGGTAATAAACCAATTGAATACATATAATCATATATTCTGCTTACTCAGAACTATCTAGAGACTATGAATAGACCGTAGACTATTTTGGAACTCGAGCATAACCACTAAAGCATTAGACAATTTCAGCCTGAACCCGTCAGTTATGTCCAAGTTTCAACCTGAAATTTCGCCTAACTTCACAGAAACTGAATATAC